CGAAGGACAGCAGGCTTTGCAATTGGTGTTTCCCATCTACCTCCCACTAAGGTTTGTTAGGCTCTTTTTTGGAGCCTGGCATCCCTTTGTGAAAGTACTGTGAGAACAACCATTTTTGCAGTGAATGTTAGCCCTCAGCCTTCTCTTGAAGATGATCACTGCCTGCTAATCCTTCACACACGTGTTCTGGAAGGGCAGAGCCCAAAGGGGGATAAAAAAGTTATGCATTAGTCTATTGCCTTTGTGGAGAGAGAAAGAACGAGTGATCATAGTCCTGACCAAGGGTACAAGGTATACGTTTAATGTGATGCTCTGCCAAAGATTTTTGGGTGGTTTTCAGTGAATACTCTCCTACCTTGGGGAGAGTAATACAAGTGAAAGACAGCAAAACTGTCAGGTGCCAGGGCTTGGAGGAACCACTAGCAGCTGCAGGTAGCTGGGTACCCCTCAAAACCAGAGAAGCTGTGGGGCAGGAGAGGGGCTGGGTGTCTGCACTCACTATGCAGCGTCGGGGCCATCCGCATGCAGACCCACAGTGCCAAGGGCTGATCCTCTCGTCCGCACTGCTCCTGAGACAAGGCTCCCAGCAGTGGAGAGACCCTTTTGCCGGGTGGAAGGTGCTGATGTGAAGGAGCACGTCTCTGCACAGAGCCTCAGCTCCCCGCTGGTTTGCTACTCTTCAGAGGTTTGATCATTTTCCTGACAGCCCCCGCTGTGACCTCCCTCCGAGTGGTTTCCCTTGAGTATTATTTTTGTCTGGAGGTTGAGCTCTGCCCTCAGTTGTATGTGTACACCTCTGGAGCCTGCAGGTGCTGCCCTGTGCTACCCTGCTGTGAAACCCCCTTGTTTTCTGCAGAAGATGAATCATCTTTTTCTGTGAATAGTTTTAGTGATGATACATCTGGCAGAGTACAATCTTTGTTTTCCTCCCTTCACCCAGACAGCGTGAGCATGCAGAGTTAATTGGATTAAAAAAAAAAGGATTAAAAACATGCTTGTGTCTGAACAGTTCACAAGCTGCAGCTCCTCCATGTGAGAAGGTGTTTCTGATCCAGCTGAGCAGGAGTGCAGCTCTGTGTCTGTTCTGACAAACCCTTCTCTGACCAAGGTGTTTTTCAGGTGTGGTATGAGCTAGAAAAGCAGACCAATCACCTATACTACAGTACTGTCAATCAGGCTTCATTCCTCTGGTGCCCAAAAGAGAGAGCCATGCAGCGGTGCCTGGCAATTTATTGTAAACCATTCATTTTGTTATAACCCTTTCATAGTCCAGGATTTACCATCCCTCCTTTCTTCAGTAGCTTACTGGCCTGTATTCATAAAGGATGGTATGAACTGTAGTATCCAGTATCAGAGTCCAGTGGGAAGAAAACTACTGCCCTACTTCTCAGCAAGCCCTCTGGCTGGCACTGGCACAGCACGACCCTTTGTCATCTTCAAGATGATGAGATTCGGGATGCTTCAGCTGATTTATAAGGAGTCATAGATATATGATGTGAGCTTAATTCATAATGGGATTGAGCTGAAAGCACTAATGCTGTTTTACTGCAGATCTGACATTAACATTCACACTGTGTCTGATGGATAGTGCAGAAGAACCAAAGTAGGTTTTCTAGTGGGTCTGGTAGCAATCCGTCTGGCTCAGCCTGATGAAATTATTGTTGCAATTTACTAATCTTGGCACAAGAAAATCCATCCAGGAACACAGACATGTAAAAACTTTTAAAAAAAATAATACTATTTTGTCTATGTAAAAAAACAAAACAAAACAAAAAACAAAATAAAGAGGGAACACTGCTCTCAGGTAGGTAGGAAAAGAGAATTTTGCAACAGTTGCATAGCAATTTTGCAAGACCTCATTTTCTCCTGCATCAAAATAAGGGTACTTCCCTACTTCACAGAGTAAGTAAGTTCTTCACATTTTTGAAGGAGTTTGGAGTGACTGGATATAATACACCATAAAGAAGCAAAATATTAGAGTACAAAATGAATTCTAGAAGCCTCAAATTCAGTCCAAATTTGTTAAGCCAAGCTACAACTGCCTTTCAGCCATGAGTAGAGAGCTGTAAAAAGTGCTATATTATGGGCACTGAAAGACTGCATGTAAACTAAATTTCACTGTTGATCCTGCTTGCCAGCATTTTAGGATTTATGTCCCATCATGCGGAATATTTGCTTCACCTTTGCTTTATGACAGTGAAGGGTTGCTTATAGGCTTTGAATTATGATGGAATTAGAATGCCTTCCACAGTAGAAAGTCCTTAAATATACCCTTAAACATTTGAGTTTGATGTTGAGATGCTTATGAAGGCTGGATTTAGGTACCCGTATCTCCTTTCTCCCCAAAATATGTCCTCCTTTTCTGTATTTGGAGTCTTACTGGGCAGACTTTCATCAGTACTCCAATGTAACTGGATTTCTGAAATCTCTGCCAGAGCTGGGGCTTTGCAGCTGTGGAGAGAGCTGAGTGAGGAGGTTTCTTGGTTGGTTGCAAAGAACAGTGAGAAAGATTTGAGCAATGGCACCCGAGAGGCAGAGCGGGAGGAAGCAAGCAGCGCCATGGGCTCTGCAAGCCGGAGAGGGAAGCCCAGGTTGAGAGCTTGGGAGTGGGCTGAGAAGGGTGGCCACCAGATGAAGACTGGGAAGGAAATGGAAAGGCTGAACTTGTGGTGTGGTGATGAGAAAGCTCTGGGAGAAGGACATGCGGGATGTGAGGAGGTCTGTGTCAGGGAGGTCAGGTTTCCACTGTGCCTCCTGTCCCATCAAAGCCTGAAAACCAGGATGCTGGCGAGGGATGGAGACGCCCATCCTGGAGAACTGCTGCTGTCACACTCATCCTGCCAGAAATACACTGGTCTTTTGGCGAGGGGCATGCCCAAAACTACCAACAGCACATTCTTCATTTCAGTAGATATTTCAAGAACAAATGGTGCCAGCTAGGAAGAAGTAAATAGTCTGAGACAAGTGAATACCCAAGGAATATCCCTCCCCCTAGAACTGGTTGTGATCAGACAACAAAAGCAGCATTACATTAGGTCTCTACCACAGTGTACAAAGAGCTCAGGAAGTTTAAGCTAGAGGAACTGTTTATATTGGGATTTGATTGCTTTTGCTTTGTTTTAATTCAGCAGCAGAATATTTGCTGGAGGAGCTAAAGAAGCCAGTTAGAGTCTACAAAAATGCCAATGATTTATTTATTGCCATCATTTAGGGAAAGGGCAGCAGTTGCTGGTTCTGAATATTTAACATCACAGGGAAAAGGCAAGCTACTCTGAAGCCTGTGTGTTCCAGTGAAGTGCTGCAAACCATCATGCCCCCCTGGCCCCCCAAATTCAGAGGTGGGAGAGCCATGAAGGTATGCCCCAGCATACTCTTACAGGGACTGAGACTTCAGACCTCAGCTTGCGCGGCCATGAGCAGCCTGTTGAAGGGATCCTGGCCCCTCTCTGAGCAGTGACCTGCTATGAAATCCCAGGTAAGGAGACGAGGTGCATCTGCAACTCAGAAGGCATTACCTGTGTAGCATTCATCTCAGGAAAACTGCAATTCGTTTTACTTCACGCGTCATTTATAATAATTCCCAGGAGAGCAGCAAGTGGGAGAGATTAGCATCAGAGCTTTTCCCTACCCAAAGCTAGCTACAGCGAGATGCCTTTTGAAATGCTGAAGGACTGTCCTTAGCTCGCTTCCCCCCCTTCCTTGGTTTTCCAAGGGACTCAAGCAAACAGCCTCAGTCTCTCCAGCTACTAACTGACACAACCCACCAGGTGTTTCTCAAAAACGCATTCAGGAGCATCCAGGCCACAGCCACACATGGGCAGAAGGGAAACAGGAAAAGACAATTTCCCATGCTTCTCGTGTGTCACACTCACTGTAGAGCCCCCTCCTTCAACACATCATCTGCTGCGGTGGGATTTCACTGCTGTTGTTGGCTACGGAGGAAACGCCTGGCTGCAGATGGGACTGAGTGTCAGGAGATGGCCAGCACCTGCCTCTGACTCTCCCCAAGGAGCCATCCAAGGGGGAAGCTCTTAGAGAAGCCCGTTTCTTCTTGTGACCATCACCATCTGTGAAGCACCCTCAGCAGAATGAAAGGGACCATCATCACCCCACCCAAGTGCATGGAAGAAAAAGAAAAAAGGTTATTTTTAAAGGAGAGCATTTGAAATCTCATAGCCAATTTGCAAACAGATATTCTGGCTGCATTGTTTCAAATCAATATTTAGCAGCATGTGTTGGGTCTAAATAGCACAGAATTCAATAGCAAGATCAGTATACAACTTAGGACCTTCCTCATACTTTATTTTCTGAAAATTGCTTTTTGAATGCTTAAGGAAATAGCAGCTAAAAAGGTGAATGCCCCGATGACTAGCTATGGTTATATCCATCCTGGAGCCAGACCATCTAGCAAGCCTCTCACTGCCCATCATGATAAAAGACTGAGATTTAACCATGCTCACAGTGACCATCCACGAGTTGTCAGCCCTGATTTCATGCAGGATGGGGCTTCCCAGGCCCCAGCTCAGCAGATGTGGTAAATTTTTCTTCTGAAGCTTTCATTGTCTGGGTCCCTCAGAAGCTGAAGGGAGCTCTGAAACGGCAAGCTCCTCAGGGCTTGGTTTTGAGTGTAAGAGTTTAATCACTGCTGCTAGTATGGAAACCTGGGTGCTCTTGTCCCTTAGTGGAATACTTTACCTGTTACCAGGCACAGGGGCCTCCTTAATAGCAGGCAACTTGGCAGACGATGAAGAAAACACATTTGCATAGCATGCTCATACCAAAGGTTTCTGTGAGTCACCCCGGGGTGCACTTCCCAGGAGAAAGTGTTGTTTCCAGTGTTGCTGGAGGGCAACAATAAATTGATTAGCCTCTTTAAAATTTCTCATAAAATTGTATTAACAAAACGGTAAATACATTACACAGAGACCGTAACCACAGGATGTTTACATAATGCCCACTGTGGACGAGTACTAAATACCATAAAAGACCTGAGACCCCCCCGAAAAGTCCGCAAGTTCTGGCTCTCACAAGGCAGCTAGAGCACCATTGTTTCTCCTCTTCTTCTTCTTCCTCTTCCTTCTCACATTTCAGCTTCGGCGTTGTGAACTTTGCTGGTGGTTATTGCAATTCCTATTGCTAGGCTTCCATTGTCGGAAAAGAGCTGAGCCAGGGAAGTGTTCAGCACAAGGCAATCCCCGTCGGAAATGACAGAGTCAACACACTCCAGTACCGACCTGGGGGTCGCCTCCCACTTAAGGCGCCTCTGGTTCCTGTTGAGCTCGAGGCGGTAGGTGAAGTTGTCGGCTTGTGTCGGTGTGCCGATCAGCATCATCGTAGCAAAGAACTGGGGGTGGCCTTCATACTTCTCCTGCTTCCTGAGGACCAGCAAAAACTGGTGGCCAAGGCAAGAGTGCATGATGATCCAGTCCGTGGGTGCGGGCAGGTGCATGTCCGTGGCCAGGAAGACAATCTCTGCTCCCTGAAGGATGTTGATGCGGTGGGTCTGCCTCAGGTGGGACACCACCACCTCCAGGTGCCCTTCCCATGGGCAGGAGAAGAGTGGGCACGTGCAGGGAACCAGCTGGGGGTCGTGTACTGCTTCGTGGTGATGGCAGGGAGGAAGGGTGCCTTGCTCCACGGATGTCTGCGCAGCTGCACAGCGGGTTGGTGCATACTACAAGAAGAGAGAAATTACATGTGATAACAGGTGGACCAGGAACCGGTGCAGATATACAAGATGCAGACCCCGCAGACACCAGCCACCTAATACCTCACCTAAAATAGCACTGGTGGGAACACCAGGAATGCAGCATTGTTGAAACCAGCCTGAGATCAGGGGCAATCCAGGCCAGGATCTGCACAGGAAAAGGTGCTGGCAGTTGCCTTGTTCTCCAGGAGAAGAAAGAAATCATTTGAGCCACGATAAGTCACTTCAAATGAAAGTGATGTATGTGTTTAAAGAGCGATTTCATTAGTTTGGGGGGAAAATCTGATTAAAAAAAAAAAAAAGCCCAACAAAGCAAGGACAGCATGGGGCATTTTATATAGTTAAGGCTCTTCCAGCTCAGAACAAGGAAATGAAATATGTATGGCTTTATTATTCTTTAATGAAACACACTGGCAAATACAGGCATTTCTCCTGAAAAAATATGCTTTATAACACCCATAATTTGTGAAATAAAAGTCAGTTTTTATTGTATACTATGCCTTCATTTTTTTTTTTTTGTCAATGTATTTGTGTTTAATTGATGCGCTTACCTCCATAAATCTTAAATGGTTCTCAAAGGTGGATGGATGACAAATTAAGGGCATTTTTATACTAAAGGAAATTTGGATTAAGGTAGGGCAGCTAGCTGAAAAGGCAGCAGCTTTTGCAGAATAATTCCACGTGAGGACTAGGAAGCAAACCGCTCTGCCTCTGTCAAGCGGATGTTGTTGAAGAGAAATGAGTAAGTCTTATTCAACCAAAAGTGTATCCACATGTAATGCTGTTCAGGAAGAGTAATGGATCTCCGCAATAACTCTGTGCGTAGACAAACCCTAAGGCACAGGCATGCCAGTCATGATTCATCCTACCCAATTTTAAGCATTTACTTCAGCCACCTGAGACGGAAACCTAGTTACCTTGGACTGCCTCTGCAGAGGGAGGCAGCCCTTCCCAGTGGCAGATTCAGATCTGAGCGGGAGTAATTCACCTCCTAAAGGTGGCACCGGCTGCCACCAGAGTGACTAAGGCTGAGATCCAATCTGTCTAGTTGTACCTAAATTTTAGATGCTTAAACATCGGAGGACAATGTCTCCCCCTGAACTCCTTTGGAGATGCTTATAAGGAGTGTAAGAATTAAGAATACATATATATATATATATGTACATTTTACTTTAACATATGTTTTAGGAAGATTCATGTAATTCCCCGGATACTGCCCCACATCTGCTCATTTTAACGTGTAGCCAAAATTACAGAAACAACAGTATGGTTCTAAGATTTAACAGTTTTTCTCCTCCATGCCACATCCACCCCATAGCGGATTTGGGCTTTATGCAGCTATTTTTGAGCAGAGGTCTGTTTTAACCAGGGACAAGCATAGTCCCATCTAATAGGTGCCAGATATGTTGCAAATGGTGCATTATCTCCTCGCTCTATGGATACTGTGATGCCTTTCATTACAGCCTTGACGTGAGAGTAGGCATTCTTACTGCATACAGTCTTTCCCCCCAGAACTTGCACTTTTGCTTTCCAGGATGTTTTGGAAGGCAATCTCTTGGGTCAACTGTCCCAACTCTCAGATGACCAGGGCTTCCTGGCCAACCAGGATGACAAAGTCCTGGATGTCTGTTCAGGATTTCTATTTTGTCAGTAGCTGCCAAGGGATGCAATGGGCAGAGTAGGGTTGTGATTGCTGCTGCTGTGTTCTTCCCAAGACACTGGGTATCAAAGGGAGATGTTTCTTCTTCCTCTGACATTTGATATGAAGAATAATTGACTATTTAAGCCCTATTATTGAATCTTGCAGCTTTTTCCTGGGAGAATTATTACTTCAATAGTACTGTTCTACTTTTTCCTTCCTCGTTTTTTATTTGTTTTGCTGTATAAAATTCAAGAATATAAACTTTCCAAGAAGATAATGAATTGAGGTCAGATAAATGACTATCATTGTCTGGGAAATAAAACAGGTCATTATAAACTAATCGGAGTTTGTGGCTTTAGCTGCCTGCTTATCATGGTGGGGTTGCTGGAGAGGACTGGTTCACACTTAATTCTACATTAATTTTTGCATTCCATTAGGATGAAAGTTATGGTTAATTTAAACTCTTTTGGTGAAGGAGGCTAGTGCAATGGCAGATCGTAAAAGCCTTTTAAAAAATCCCTGAAATGCTAATTGCCTCATAAAATGAATTCTAATCTCCCAATCTAATACAGTGGGTGTGAGCAATTACTTTCTCTCACCAAACTGTTAATGCAACATTAGTGATTATACTAATTAAAACTAATGAACTCATTCTCACATGCTGATAAACCTCTCAACCACTCGACAAGTTCCAGCCTTCTATCAGTTTTATTTAACTCCTCTTTAGGAAGATGAATCTTAAATTAACCTCTTGAATAACATTCAAAATTAGGTTTTGAAATGTGAAGCTTTATAGACTGTGTATAATTTCTCTCCAAAGATTACCAGAGTCAGAGAAACCATTTCCACTGAGGATGTAATTGAATTTAGAAATGCATTCTCCTAATTTGATAAGCATGGAGAGCAATGGTAGCTCATCCATCTAAACTGTATCCAAGGTAAGAAAATAAAAGAAAAGAAAATATCTCCAAAAATCGCTTTATGACAAGCATGTTTCTATGGCTCAGGAACGGGAAAAAGAAATTACAGCAAGAAGTTTATGTGATGTATCTTTCTTCTTTCCTTCATTTGTGATTTTTTTGTCTGTGTGTTCAAATAATTGAGAATGCCCTTTCACATCTCATATTTTTGAAACATTTCCATGAATCACTTCAGCAAAGGATTTTTGGTCTGACTTTGTGCAGTTCAGGTTTATTGAAAATTCTGAAAATCCAGCACAAACCACATGATCTATTTTTATTCTGTGACTAGGTGAGAATCATCTTCAAAATCTGGTTTCTGAATTATTCAACATTCCTTTTTCTAAATTCTAAATTTTCTAATATTCTGAAAGAAATATTTAAAAATTCCCTGTCTCTGTGGAAAAAAGTCTCACAGAAAACTATTATTTTACTTTTACTTTTGAGGTATGAGTATAATTATTGGGGTGTCTGTGCCCTTGTTGGTCTTTCATATGACTGTGAACAGAACCTCTAAAATTGAAATGCAAAATGGGCATAAAATGGTCACCTTGAGTGCATTTAAATGCTTAAATAAATATTTATGAACATTTTTTCCCATGTTTAATCTGCTCCAGTATTTACTTTCCATCATTTATTGCCCGATTACCTAATAAAAGTAGATTTATTATATTGTTGTGCCAGTCCAGTATTATTCTCAATTATCTTTTAGCCTGTTGGCCAATTTCAGTCAAATTTAACTGTGTGATAGAAGTCTTAAAAGCTTTAATTTTCAACCGGTTTTGTGAGAAGAGGCAGCAAGGTAGAGAAGCATGACCCTTTTTTGTCTCCAGGGAGGAACAGCTTGCCACGTGGGCAATATTACATTGTCAGATAGGAGAGAACCTAAACAACTGCAGTTTGATCCCAAATGTATTATAGACACCAGACAACCCACATGAGACAATGTCTTTATGAACAGGAGAAAAGGCTTTAGCCAGAGTGCTCCTCATTAGATGTGAGATAATCCCACCACAAGACACCAAACTGCAGGAAACCAGGCTCTGCCACTCACAGAAAAATTTCTTTTTAATGATGCAGCTTATTACAGTGTAATTCTCTTTAAGAACAAGTCATTTGGCAAAAAGCAATTTATAAACACAGAGTACTTTTCTTATGGAAAAAAAAATGTTATATTCAGACCCAGGACACAGGGCTTCTGGGTTGTGCCCCAGACTTTCTACAGACTTTCTGCTAAAAATGCAACAAACAGCTCTAGGTGTGACTCATCTGTTCTAACTTTGACGTCTGAGGAGTAGGTGGCTAACTCTGAAGAACATCCACTCCTTTTACAGCCTATGCAGAGGTCCGGAGTGCAATTCGCTTCATCCCAAGAGATGCCGAAGGAACATCCTCCCGGACACCGCTCTCTATATGCAGCCGGGGCCAAACCCATCCTCAGGGCAGATCCACAGAGGTTTTACTGGTTTCTAGTTGAGGAGCAGAAGGGCACCCCTATTTCAGTCAGGAGAGAGTTGTACCACTATGGGCTTCTGCTGCACTGGAAACAACACAGTCTGTGGGGAGAGAAATGGATGCCTGTTCACATGAGGGTGTAAATCCATGGCTCCCTACCACCATTACACCTCCAGTCACCAATGACTTGACAGAAAATCCAGGGGAAGGTCGAAGGGTAGATCCAAGAGGTAGCGATCTCCAAGATCTCCAAGAGGTGGAGAAGACACAAGCGTATCTCTGAGTCTGCAGCTGCAAAGTTGAGGCACCCATCCAGGACAGAGGGCTTTGGTATTGCTCCTCGTGTTCTGGAGGGCCTTTTGTATTTTAACTAGCAAAGGCTTTAGGTCAACTATGGTAAAAATAGTGGAAACAGGGGCAGTAACCCACACTGCAACTCTGCTCACTGAGCTCCAGGTCCTGTGGGGTGCAGACACCAACTACGTGGCGATCCCTCAAGCCCTACTTCTCTGCTGCACGTTGGCACAGCTTCAAACAAGAGAGCAAGGGTGGCTGCTGCCCTGAGCAGCCAAATGTCTTGCAATTAAAGTCCTGACTTGCAAATGGGGAATTTGCATGCTGCAAACCCCTCCGGGGTGAAGGAGGGTTGAATCCAGTCCTCCCACCCCATGAGAGAGGACCCAGACCCTGATGATCTGGAGTAAAAGAAGGATGAGCAGCACTGCATAGTAGAATAAATCCTGCTCAGGTCTTCAGAATGAAGGTTAAATGTCACCTTTCTGCACTTTCCAGTGTTCCCCGGTTTTATACTGGGAGCCTGGATGCCTCATTCATACTTTTACTTACAGTAATGCACATAATGTGCAAAAAAATCAGCCTTTTACATGCCTGTGAACAGTGCAGCGTGCTCT